AAGTGGAAACCTTTCAGGTGGTTTTGTGGCTAGATCAAATGCCTTGTGGTAGACCTTCCCAAGGGTAGCATGGTATTGATGTGTTACAGACCTAAGAAGAAAAAGAAAAGCTTTTTGTTTAGCTGACGGTGAGTGAAGAATCATTCGGGAATACACAGCCAGGAAGCAATGGATTTCACAGCCCAGTCATGACCAATTGCTGCCTCTGTGAATGGCAAGGTGGATGGTATCTAGGCAACTTGTACTGGACACAGGAACAGCATGATAGATTTCCATAGAATGAAACAAACTTACTGTTAATGTTTGCATGGTACAGGGGAGTGTTTTAGGTAGGAAAAAACCCCCACCCAAAATAAAAATTAACAGTACATGTCAAAGTAGAGGGGTATTTGTCAAACACCTTGCAGAACTTTCTGAGAAAAGTGAAGGCTTATATTTTATTTTTGAAACCTGCCTGTTGGCTGTGGCAAGTATAGCAGGATTCTAAGAGGCAGCTGTTTCCAGCCACACTTCAAGCTTCATAGTTAAGAAATGCAAAGACAGGAAGTACTGGGGGCACTGAACAGCTGTACAGTAATGCCACAGAAGCCCACAGGTCTCTCATTTACTGGGGAATATTTCAGTACATGAAGCATCTCTACATGAAAGTGGGTAAGGCAGAGGGGCAGCTGAATACCTTCACTATTTTTTAAAGCTACTAGCTTTTGATGGATTCAGCTGCCTGGGTGGTTGGCCACAGAGAGATCAAACCTGCCCAGATCTGCTGGAGTCCTGTGTGAGTCCCAGGTTCTTCCAGCTTTGCCTGGCTCACTGTGCTCAGAGACAGCAATGGGTACAATCATCAGCAAGGGGTACAATCATCTTTTCATGAGAAGCACCTATCAGCTTCCAATTAATTTAATGTGCATCCATCAGGATGGAGCTGAGTACTGGCACTGTTACAAAGAACCCTTAACTTCTGGATCTCTGAAAGCATCAGATGCTGGCCTTTACATTTGCTCAGTTCATAACTGAGTGAGCAAACTGATGGGGAAGTCCCAGCAGGTGAACCAAAACCAGAGCACATAGCCTCTATTCCAATTTGTCAATCTAGAGAATTATTTGGTCTGAAAATGTGTTTTTTATATATAATACTATCTATCTATCTATATATATTCATCTTACAAGTTGCATCTCTGTGTAGGTTATGTGTTACTATGGCAGATAAGGAGGACTGCACTGTGCATACATACTCAGTTCTTATTTCTTCCTTGTACTCTCAGCTTCAGTGATGCAACCTATCCTGGCTGTGCCTCTGTTTTAAGCTGGATAAATATCTACTAGAATAATTCAGGTATAGCTGATTTTAAATTGAGGTGGGGGAATGGATTAGATGATTTCCTGAACTTTCTTTTAGCCTCAATCTTATTAACGTGTGTCAAAGTGTATTTAAATATTTATAGAAATACAAAATATTAAAATACACTAAAACATAAGACTACAGCTTCAGATGGGGTAAATCAGTTCTTCAAAATTCAAGCCAAGTGTGTGTTTCTTATTAAGCTAATAAACAGTTACAATGATATAGTGAGATTTTCAAGAGATTACAGATCTATTGTTAATATCATACTAAAAATATTGTAAGGTAAATCTGGTAGCTGTACCTTTAATCCTGAGAAGTTAATTCACACTTTTTTTACTGAAAGCAAATTGTTTCAGGAAAGATCTGTCATCTATATGCATTCCTACCATGCCTAACAACGTAAGCCTTGCTTCTTGGCCAAGACCAGTAGGCAGTTTCCCCCAAGAAATAGTACATAGACAGGGAACAAGCACAGAAAACAATGCTACACAACCTTATGCTACATGGCTTTGAACCACTAGTTTTACTGCAAACCTGGTAACCAACACTGGCAGTGTTACACATGCATTGATAGGAAGATTGTTAAACACTGTTTCCATCCTACAGAATAAATTTTGCAACATGATAAATTAAAGAAAACCCAACTAACATTTCATGATGCAAGAGAAGATCCTACATAAATAATTATTTAAAATACTGTTCACATTTCATGTCAACTCCATAGCATATACAATTTTTGTGAGTACCAGTTTGGTGTGAATTTAAAAGGAAGTACAACTTTACAAAATAATTCAATAATAGATAAGCAAAATTAATACACTGAAGTATCCAACAGCAAATTGGTTAAAAGTTCACCAATAATCAGTACACAGAATACATCTAGAAAATGAGTCTACATTTAACTCTAAATAACACTGAATACCTGCATATCAAATTTCACATGATCACTACCTGAAGATGACAGGAGATAGACACATCAATTTGTGATGAAAAATATATCTATTATATGACATGGCAAGAAAATTTTCAAAGTGATGTTTGAAATCTTGCCATATCTGCAGCTTTAGTGACAGTTAAATTAATTACATCTAAGATAATCCTTCTTTACAGAGATTTTTTTTTCTCCCCCTTCATTCCTCAAAGGGGTCAGGTCATCCACTCAATTGATGCTGTGCAATCCTTTAAACTCTACAGCAAACATGGAAAGGAGAAGCAGGGGGGTAGGCAAAAGACACACTGAGATAGATGACAGATCTGTATTTCTATCTCCAGCCATCTTGGAATATACAGTTTTCTTAAGTTTATTCTGTTACCTATATGGCTCTATTCCTCTCTCTCTCTCTCTCCACATAGGATTTAGCCCTCTATGAGTTAGAGACAATTCAAAGTCACAGTCTATCTCTGGGGCTACTCTGGTCAGTGAGAATGTATGCATATGACGTTTGGAAACATTAGTAATGTTCTCTCTGCTGCCTTATACTTTGCTTACTCTTGATAAAGAGCAAGCAGATAAGTAACCCCCCATATTGTTGTAGAGGTACATGGCCTAGAGGTACGTTAGAGGCATAAGAAGAGTTCTTGCTCCCTTTCCTTTCTTTTTGTAAGAAAGTAACAGTTTTGGGATTCCCAGTGTGATGAGGATGTAGATGAACTTGAGTGAATCCAGCAGGAGTCACCAAGATGGTCAGAGGGTTGGAGTGTAAGAAGAGGCTGAAGGAACCAGCCTTGTTTAGGCCACAGAAGACAAGATTTAGGGGACCTAACAGCAGCCTTTATGTACTGAAGAGGAAATTACTGATACAGCCCAAGTGTATGGCTGGAGAATATGAAACAATGCTCATAAATTGGGATAGGACAGGTTCCAATAGGACATCAAGGAAAAATCCCCATTATGAGAGCAATGAAGCACTGGAACAGGAGATTGCCTGAAGAAGACCCAGCTGGACAAAGTCCAGAGATACCTGGTCAGTAATCAATGTTGACTCTGCTTTGAGAGGATATTGGAGAAAATAACTCCCTGAGGTATTTCTAATCTATGATTCTAATGTGGTCCAAATCAACAGCTGTAGAGGCCTCAAAGATGGTGCTGAAAGATGCCTCTAAATAGAAAGCCCTTAAGTCCCGCATCCTACATACCACAGTGCAAGAGTAGCCAGACTCACCATCCAGTGCCTGTTACTGCATGAACAGTGTCTAAGGTAGGCTCATTATCTGCTACAGCAAAGCCAGCTCTTCATAGTCAACATTCTCACAGCAACACACCTACATTTCATTTTAATCTTGGCTACTGATCTACTGAGTTTATTTTCCAGAGATTTGTTATTTCTAATGATACATATCTGCAGTTCAACCATTTGTAGCTGTCTTTGAAAACAAATCTGTCTTCGTTCAGGTGTCTGAGTAGAGCAATCTACCCACACTTTGTCTGTCAGCACAAGACAGAAAACACGCTTGCCTGGCACCAGCTGGTGGCCTGACAGGGAAGTTTGCCAAGCTGATATGGGATTAGTAGGTGCTAAGGTGTATCCGGACTCTTTGTGACTTGGTCAAAGAATTATAGCGGGCAGTTTAACAGTTTAACAAGTGTTTGCAGTATATTACAAGTGATAAGACAGATTGATTACATGAAAACAAGCACTCTCCAAATTCTCTTACGCACCCAGTAATACGCCCATCAGTCTTCAAACTCGTACTATATGGAAATCTTCAGAATCCTGTTCCCTGAGGATGAAAAGAAATAGACTTGCCAGTCGTTGAAGGACAAAATTTCACTTGCAAGATGATTTTCCAAATAATATCAGAAACCCTGCCATACTTTCAGACCCATGTAACTTTGGTGACAATTAAATTGATGGACTAAGCTAGGTTTTTATGTGACAACCATAACAATATTGCATTACATTTATAAACCATGTTCCACTTCAGGCTCTCTAAACCAATTTGCAAGCAATTACTTTAAAATACTGCTATGTGTATTGCTACCCATGTATTATAGATGGGAAAGAAATCACAGAAAGTGTCAAAATGCCTAGAGGTGTACAGCAAGTCTTGATCTAACTAGAAGTTGCATCCAAATCCCCTGAGTGCTAGTTCTCTCTTTTCATGAAAAAACTACATGTCTTTTCATGTCTCTGCTTTTTTTTCTTACAGATATTTTGTTTCTCTAAGGCTTATGACTCTCTACAGCCATCTTTCTACTTAAATAATTTCTCCCTTAAATAATTTCTTAGGCATGAATGCTATATAGATGACAGTAACTGTGCACTATTTTACAAGTCTATAACACTTAAAATTAATTACCAAATTCAGCTTTCAATAAAGTTAATGCAAGTTTGAATGTGGCATCAAATGAGACAGGCCCAATATTAAAAACTACAGGAAGCATTACATGGAGGATAGGCAGTGGGATATTTTGCTACTAGTGTAGAGGAGAATTAAACTTTTTATAAGGACATGTAGCGATAGGACAAGGGGGAATGGCTTTAAGCTGAAAGAGTGTAGGCTTAGATTAGATATTAGGAAGAAATTCTTTACCGTGAGGGTTGTGAGGCACTGGAACAGGTTGCCCAGAGAAGTTGTGGATGCCCCATCCCTGGAAGTGTTCAAGGCCCAGTTAGATGTGGCTGTGAGCAACCTGGTGTAGTAGAAGGCGTCCCTGTCCATGGCAGGGGGGTGGGAACTGGATGATCTTTAAGGTCCTTTCCAACCTAAACCATTCTGAGATTCAGTGATAAGGATCATTGTCCAGGTGAGTGAATAGACCACGTGTATCCTTTAGCCAATGCCCTTAAGACAAGAACCAGAAAGCAAATGAAATTAATTATACAAATGCTCTGGCAGCTGCCTTTGGCAGTTAAAACATTTATTTTTTAATGAAATGCTTCCCAGATCCTACAAACAAGCCCAAACTAGCCCCTAGAACTCAGATATATACACAACTGCAAATCCCAACCAGACTTGTTATTGTCCCATCTTCCTAATGAGCTGATCCAAAAATCCCAACTCTGATGGCCAAAACCTTGGGGAAGTAGGGGTTCACACCCAGATGCAGGCAGAGTAATTCAAACTCAGTAGTACCACACAGCTGTAAGAAATACTCTAATGAAGTGTACCTTCATTAGAGTATCATTCTTTGAAAAAAAACTTCTACCAAAGGTCTGTCTTAGCCCAAAGGGTGTTCTTTCACAAGCCATTAATAACATTCAGAAGAAAACTGTAAAAAAGAGGTTGAAGGTGACCTTTGTCTTCAGACAGCTCCCTAATAACCAATAGCTGTGGGATTTCTGAGATGAAGGTTGCATTCAAGCATTCAAACAGCTGAAAAGATATAATCAAGGCCAATGAACATGTTGTTTGTATGGAGCATATTTGTACAAGTAAGTGAATTTGGAGTCACCTTCCCCTCCCCCCAGCTCATGCTGGGCAAACAGAATTTCATTTTGGTTTGGGTAAGGAAGTAGAAATTTTCAGATTTGTTGCAGAAGTAGTAGAACTCGTTGGAGTTAAAGATATGACTGTCTCTGCGTACAAATCAAAATGCAGCTCTCAGAGGAGCTCCTAGGCATGCAGTGTGAGAAGGGCAAGAAATGTGTCAGTGTGAATGTAGGCTCAGTTCAGACTCTGCTCAAGGACGTAGGAGGAAACAGAAACTTAACCTACACTAAAATTTTCCAAAGGGCTAATTTACCCAAATCAAACCATTACAGTCATAAACAAGTCTCACCTAGAGGTGATGTGCTGGGCTGAGTCAGTGAAAAACCTTCATGGAGAGCTGGAGGCAGAGCTGGGTGATGGGCACAGTGAAGCACCAGCAAGGAGCCTGCTCTGCCACAAGGTGAGCGTGGAGCTTCTGGCAAGGGATCTCATTGCTACTTGTGTCAACATCCTGCTCTGTTTGGCTAGGACAGTATTTTCCTTTCTTAGTACAGCTGTAAAGAGCTAATGCTTGTAGGATACTATACAGTGCTCAGAAGAATGACTATTGCACTTCCTAATATGTTTTATAAAGGAAACAATGACATCCATAAAGTAGATGACTGTCTTCAAGCTAGTTTTTTTCTCCAGAGTTATGGCTAGCGTCTTCTTAAAGCACAGTTACATGCCTCTGTTTCTTTGGCTGATAGAGCATCAGACAAACAACTCTCAATGCAAAGTGTTCTCTAATTCCTCTTGAGCATCAAGTCTTGTGAGCTAAAAGGCCAACTTTTTCTTCCACAAACAGCAGCCAAAATAATATGCCTACACCTGAAGCAAGATTTTGGCTTATGATTTCTATGCCATCCTTCCGGAAGTCTACACATATATAAAAGATCCACCTTCTTTCCTAAGCCTAACTTACCATTGAAAATAGCTTATAGATAAGTCCTTTAAATAGGGCAATATTAGTCCCTTAAAAAGGGTGAAAAGTATTGATACTGTGCTTTTGATTTAAGCTCCGTGGCGGGATCTGTTAGGAGAGTAAGGGTGACTGGTTTTAGTAGTGATAGAAAACACAGATTTTTTTTCCCCTGTGTGAAGGAAGAAACACTTGGCCAGATCCCCAGGGGTTACAGGAGAGAGAACTGAACAGCAGAATGTTTCAGAAGGAGACATTCCATGGGTACCACTGAAATGATTCAAACTGTAATTAACTATCCCTGCTGTCTCAAAATACAGGTGCATGTGCATTTGGGAATGAGATGAGTATCAAATTGAAAACTGAGTCACTCAACAAGCTTGTCTTACCCTTCCAATTATGCAAGTCAGTTTGTGACTCAGCAGCTATACAAGTCTGTTCTCCACTGACAAGACAAATCAGTTCAGCAGCTGAGTCAGTCACCTTTTCACAGTGATAAATTCAGTAGGCAGCCACGGTACGGAAAAGATTGTAGAGCCTTTATTCTGACTGCAGTTACCTATGTGAGAGAGAGTAAATACATTTTATAGGAGAATAATCTTCAGCTCACCCTCACACAAGGAATTAATTAAATGAAGGAGACAAAAACTGTCATGGGATTACACTGACTAATGTTCATGGCCCTTTAACTAAAAGAGATTAGTTTTTTTTCTGATACTGTTTTCTGTTGTTACTGTTGTGTGTTCATCCCTTACTAATAAAAATCATCTGGCAACTTGCTGTAATTGCAATGTAGTTGAGAATTAATTACTTTAATTGTCTTTGACTTTTCTTTCTAGTCTTGCAAATAATTTCCTACGTGTTTGAGTGTGACAAGGGTGGAGATATCGTGACAGTTACAGGCAGTTACAGACTCATGCACACATTGGCATGGTAATCTTTGCCCAGGCCTGTTCCTTGAATGCTGACTTTTTGCTGGCACCAACAATAAGCTTTCCTTACCCTTCAGGCTTGGTCCTTTTGAGGTGCCAAGTATGAAGAGCTGCTGTCAATAGTCATAGCACTAAAAACACCTAACCTAAGTCCAAGTTCTTAAGTCTACTGACAGAACTTCAAGACTGCATTTAGAACTGAAAGTGAAGAAGTCACCTGATAGACTGCACTTCTCTCTCTCTGACTGTAAGAAATATATCCCACTAGTCCTGTTCAAAACCAGGTGTCTTTATGCCCATGTCCAGAGGTGAACATCACAAATAGCCATGATAGTTGGTATTATAACCATCCCACCATGAGGCTGTGAATGAGGCCCCATTGGGTGAACTGCAGTACAAAAACTGTAGGAGAACACCTTAGCCAAGAGGAACTCGTTAGGTTACGTGAGGCTGAAAAAGATAGGGAAAAGGGAATGGAGAGTTATGGTTTGCAAATGTTTTCGCTCCATACTGAAGGCTTTTCCAAAATGTAAAAAATGTGTTTCAACACACAGTTGCACGTGAATACCAAATCATCTGTTCTTCGCAACTATTCTGAGAGATGCATCATCCGTCATCTACACGATCTACGCACATCCTGTTGGGGCTCTACATTACGGCCCCAGTGCCAACAGTTTTCACAATGACTGGTGCATTTCTTAAAGCCTCTTTCCCTGCAATCAACTGAATATGTGAATATTTCAGCTTTAATTTTCTAAAACTAAGTACCCTCTTACTTACAAACAACAGCAAAAAAATCACCTACTTAAAAGCTCACTTAAAAATTTCCAGAGTCAGTCGACTTTTTTGTCCAGTAGTTTTTTGGCTTTTGGTTGGTTTCAAAGTTTCTCGGTCTGCATAATTCTGAGGAGGTGGGGAGAAATACAAAAATCTTAAAGAGATAACATCTTTCTGATGTACTCCTTGCATAAGTTTGCTTTCCAAAACCAACAATTCTCTTTCAAGATATCAAATCACATTCCAAAATGCATAGATGGGATGGTTATCACCATACATTACTAATATTGCCCATTCCTGACTACAAATACCTTGCTTCCAGTGGCTTATTCCTTGCCAAGTCTCAACACTCTGGGTTTACTTTATTATTTTGAGGATCTGGTCAATTAAGCAATTTTCAGCTTAATAAGACATCACCAGCAATGAAAACAGTCATCAAGAAGTCATTTATCTCGAGTTACCACGAGCTGTGATTTGAATACAATAATTTTTCTATGGCGCTTGGTGCTGTGAAAAATTACATTCTATCTGCCTTAAAAGTAATAAACAGCAATACTTAGATAAAGCTGAAAGTAATTGCATCACCTTATTAGTGAGAGCTTTACTTTTACAGTAAATGCAAGAGGCTCATGTACATTTCTTATTTCAAATGAGGAAGTTCCCAACCCAGGTAGAGAAACAAGTGGTAAATATAGAAGCCTTATAGCAGCCTTCCAGTACTGAAAGGGGGCTTATAAAATGGCTGGAGAGGAACTTTGTAGCAGGGCATGTAGTGATAGGACAAGGGTGAATGGCCTTAAGCTGAAGGAGGATTGACTTACTTTCAATCTTAAAAAGTCTTTAGTATAGCAGTGGTGAGGCACTGGAACAGGTTTCCCAGAGAAGCTGTGGATGCCCCACCCCTGGAAGTGTTCCAGGCCATGTTGGATGGGGCTCTAAGCAACCTGGTCTAGGGGAACATGTCCACCCCACAGCAGGGGGTTTGTAACTGGTCCAGTGGAAAGTGTTCCTGCCCACAGAAGCAGTGTTGGAATGAGATGATCTTTAAGGTCCCTTCCAACCCAAACCATTCTGTGATTCTATGATTTCGTAATTCTATGGTTAACTGGTATGCCTTTCCTAGAGATGCATGGAAGGAATGATTATATTCTTCCATTTGTAATTATACTAATATCCTAAATATCCACTGCTACCCCCTCTCTCCTTTGCTGTTTGCTCCACGAGCAATCCACAGTCTGAAATTTCATAACATGAGTTAGTACAACACACACCAAATAGGTGAGTTGATGATTCACTGATATCAGTGGCTCCGTGCTTCTGCTATTATTTTTTACTTCTATGAACTGACTTGCTGTGCGCTAACAGATGGGTTGACCTTGTGCAGAATACAGATGATAGATTTTTTTGTCTAGATGGGGGTGATGACACCAATGTCCTGTATGCTTACTGGAGAGAAGGAGGTGAAATGATGAATACTTGTGCATGTGTGTGTAGTGGGGAAGCTGGAGGGAGAAAAGCCTGGTTACAGAACATTTTTAAGTACTATTCTGTAGAAATCAGTACTTTTAAAACACAATACTTACGTGGCAGATAAAAAAAAGAAACAGCTGCCTTAAGCAGCTTCCAGAGTCAGAGTTAAAAAAAGGAAAGTCGCTTCCTCTGTCCTTTCTCTTCCTGGCACATGGAAAGAACGCAGTAATATGATACACAGAGCTACTCAATGGCCAAATCTACTTCTTCTAATTTAAGTTTGTGTACATTTCTGATATCTTCTCTAGGGCCTATTTAAAGAGGTATCTTTCATAATTGCTACTTTTGTATACCTTAATGAACACAATTAATAGCTGTATTAGCTGTGGGAATTTATCTGAGGCGAATGAAGGAAAGACACCCAAAGAAAATGGGCAGAATACAGCTGCATCTTGGATAGTCCTGTAGTCCTCCCCAGTTTTGTTGTGTTTACTACTATTACTTCATTTTATTTCAAAATGCATTACAAGAATAAACCTTTTCCATTACAAAAATGTATATGGACAAAAGCAATTTTAATTCACCTGGAAGACTATTATTGCCTCTATGTTTAGCCTCAAGAGGTAACTAATCACATTAGTAGAGGGGTTTTTATTTTCAAAGTGATGTCTTTGGAATAAAGAACTTCCCTCTAAACAGCAAGTGAAAGCAGCCTTTCCCAGACCTCCACTGCGCTCTTGGTAGAGGTGCTCCATCTTCTCCCTCCACATCACATTCCTCTCAGATCACCACATTATTTCAGAGTCTCATCTGTAAGTGCTGAGCTAGTGACCCCTACTGTGTCTCTACTTTTAGGATGCTCCTACATTTTGCTAGGAAATTCTCAATGGCATCTAAATTCAGCTAATTAAATTGTGCTACACGCCTAAGGCACCCAGCTGTTTTTCAGACCTATACAGAAGGAGTAGCACATCACAGTAATATTTGCAAGCAACCAATGGAGTGTGAAGCTACGAGGCAGAATCTTTGTGATCCCCAAGGCAAAGCACTGTTAGCACAGGTCACAGGTCTATTCAGTTTGGTAGAGAAGGGTCTAATACAAGGTCAATTAACCTGATCAGGACCATTACATTTTCCTTCTGCCACCATGCAACAATAGTGTATTACAGAATACATTATTTTAGAAATTGTTTAGGGATTTTTAATAAAGTTCAGTGCATAACCCTGGTGGCATATGGTGCAACAAAACCAAAACACAAATATCCTAAAAATGTTGAAACTGACATTAAAAAGAGTTGATTTTCAATCCAACATGTTATTTCCCACAAGATGAAAATTACTCAATAAAACCTGTCACAAGGTTCAATACACCCTAACGTATCAAAGCCTGAGCATGTCATCAATCCTAAATGATGCTTGTCCTGAACCTTAGGACAAGACAATTTTTCAGCAATGAATTTCTCCAGTTGCAGTCTGATTTAAGATAATATGATTAACTACATTGATACAGAGCAGCATGAAGTGTATGCCTTCAGTGGCATGATACACTGTATTGTTTCTTTCCCTATTTTTTATTCCATGTTCTTCCAGTCTGATAGCTTTGGCAAAGAATCAGCTGTGTAACCCTAAAAGAAGCTTTCAGATGTTTGAGTATTTACGCACTGTAAAATCAAAGCAATAATGAAAGACAATTTCTAGTAGTGGACATAAGTTTAAAACTTTACAATCTTGCAAAGACTGTGTTTCCTCTGTCTCAGAAGCAGCCAATTACGATTGTCACGTTCCCTTGTTTGTGGGGTATTTATGTCTTCGCGCTTCTACCCTAAGAGTGAGTAGAGAATTAAAAAATTCGGTTATATCTGCAGCCACTGTCATTGTCTTTTTTGGTCTCGCGGCCCCCTCTACCCTCTTTCTCTACATTTTGGAGGAGCAATCAGTTACTCCAGTTTCATGGAAGCATTTATGCAGGTCCAACGCTGACATCCAGTGGCCTCCGCAGTTCATTACATCCAGTGTCTTCCACCATTTGAAACTTGGCTTGAAGAGATTCGGCGTTTCTCTCCAAATAGATAATTTCAGCACTAAAATCAACACAATTATGTGATTTCCATAAGTAAGCATCGGTTGTTGTATATTCTGATAATTACATTTAAAGGTATTCAGTACAAAAACCTTGAAATATCCCAAAATGTTAAATTATTCAGGAATCCTAATCGCACAAGCATATTACCACAGAGCAATAATTCTCTCTATAGATCTACATATGTGCACACCTGCATACTTATACACTTTCTTTCTCCTTTTCCCCACCCATTTAGTATTCCTAAACCTGAGGTGAAAGTGCCCCAAGTGCAGGCATCCATTTTCCATGGACCTAACATGAAAAACAAGGCCCAACGACAGATTTTATTTTTCTGTAGAAGAAAAAATGAAGAGAAAGGGAATATAATTGGATTTTATTCTTCAAAGCTAGCAGATGAAACTTGTATTTTCTGAATGAAAGTTGAAGTTAGGTAGTGACTTGTAAATAGTTGTTACTTGCCTGTTGGCTGGTAATTTTGCTACCTGTTTCTTTCTTCCTTGTGTTGATAAACTTGTCTGGTACTCTCAGAGGGTTTTTGATCAAAGCCAATACAAAATGAAATTTTGGTGTATATTTTCCCAGAGCACTGGATGCCTGAATGCAGTGTTTTAATCTGGCCCACTAAAAAACTTGCAGAAAACTTCAAGTTTACACTTCCCTTTCAGATTTGGTCGCAGTTTTTTGGTTTGTTTGTTGTTGTTGGCTTTGGGGCTTTGTTTGTTTGTTTATTTTAACTAGAATTCTAATATTTGTTTGGTTTAATGAACCTATTACTATTAGAAACTTCTGCAACAGCTGCAAGGGATGGATAAGCTTCTGGGAATCTTTTCTGTTCCAAAGACTGATTATTTTAATCAACACATCTCCTGGATTAGAGTTTCCAAGAGGATAACTTCAAAACAGCTCTAAGAGCAGCCCTATGTGTCACTGTGTTGGCACTATTAAAAGTTAGCATTCTTCACGCCATCCCACTCTTTATAAAGATGGCATTTAAAAAAAATGAAAGCTTTCCCATGTTGAGAATATGTCTTTCTTTGTCTTTCTGTATACCAGCATAAATAGAAACTCCTAAAGAGTTTTGTTTGTTTGTTTTTCCTCTGCTGGTCTCTCTGAAAGCAACCACAGAATGCAATTCCTGTATCCAGCTGTGTAATCTGCTTTCTGCTAAATAAGCCTTGACAGCAATGACTCAATAGATCCTTGTAAAAGTAATAATAATAAAAAATTGCAGTCCTCATTTAGTTCTTGCATTAAAGGGTAAGGACACTTCAGAAGATTGTTTTTGCATTGCTTTCTGTGGCCTTCATTTTATAGGAAGCTTGCTTTTAAACAAGGGGCTTAGAATCATCTGGGTTTTCACAGAACATTTCTATGGTTTCTTTTGACTACAGGGCATTTACAAGGACAGGAAGAAATAGCTCAGTGTTCTATTGGAAAATTTCTTGCAATGTGTCTTTCCTAGTTTAAAACAAGTAATTAAAAACACTACTATCATATGAAAGCACAAATCATTACATGCATTTTAAATTTAACATTATGTAAGCTCTTGAATAGAGCTGGAAAAGAGAGACTACTTATTTGGTGAGTGATAAAATTTATTTCAAGTGCAACTTTCACCAAAGAAGATAGGCAATGCAATTTATCATTCCTGTGGGGTTTATATCTGCTTGGGAGTTTAACATTCACATAAAATACCACCTGCACTGTCAAAAAATCCTTTCCAATGTTAATATTCAATTTTGGCTCAGCTTCACAGCCTGCCTAGGGAAGAGTGACTCAGAGCTCTCCACCTTCCAAAGGAACAGGGATGGGACATACAGTACTTTGCCTCAGCTGCACGTAGCAGAAGTAACCTTACCAAGTTTCTTGTCTTGGAAGGACCCGCAAATGCTGTGCACCTCTTCAGATTTTCTCTATGTCGACTTCTTGTGCCACTTCTCTACCACAGAAAGTGCTGTGTTGCCCTCTAACCAAGCAAAGGGCTAATGAAAAGGAGTGTTGGGTTGCTCGTGCTGGCAGTTTTTCTGGTATCCTTTTCCTTCTCCAGAGCCAGACTTCCCACGTCCCTTGTTTAGAAAGAGATGCAGTTTATACAGAGACAGCGTCAGGAGCTGTGATAAGCTGTGCCCTGAAGCGTGAGCCTCGGGGCTTTGCTTTTCTGTTTTCTGACATCTCTAGGCAAACACAGATTTTCTGATGTAGTTCCCCATGATCCATTATCTGGGTGTTTTGTGGCCAGATTCGATAGTGCACGCCCCTTGATTCTCAGGTGAATTGAGCAATATCAAAGCCGTATCTCTGCTTTACAAATTAACTGGAGGCTCAAGGCTTTAGGCTGACGCTTAGCTAAGCACCTGGCTTAACTCGAGGTGCAGCCTTTCACCCGCGTCAAGAATACGAGATCCGGAGCTAGTCCTTAATCCTCAAGTACGTGCCTTACAATAACGATGTGTTGCAGATGCCGGCCTGGGGTTGTAATTACTGGATTAGCCGACTGAAGCGGCAGTAAATTATTTTATTATAACGTCAATATTTAACCACGCCAGGGCCCACCCCGCAGCCCTCCAGCCCCCAGGGCGGGGCGGAGAGGAACTACAGCTCCCGGGAGGCCTTTTCCGGCGCGCTCCCATCGGGCCCTGCGGCAGGAAAAGCCGAGGGAGCGTTGCTGCGCCCGCCGGAACAGATCCCTCTGCCGGGGTGCGTCACCTCCGCTCGCCATCCCGCTCGCCGTCCCGCTCGCCGTCCCTCGCTCCGCCGCACCATGACGGACCGCTACACTATCCACAGCCAGCTCGAGCACCTGCAGTCCAAGTACATCGGCACGGGGCACGCCGACACCACCAAGTGGGAGTGGCTGGTGAACCAGCACCGGGACTCGTACTGCTCCTACATGGGCCACTTCGACCTGCTCAACTACTTCGCCATCGCCGAGAACGAGAGCAAGGCGCGCGTCCGCTTCAACCTGATGGAGAAGATGCTGCAGCCCTGCGGGCCGCCCGCCGACAAGCCCGACGAGTCCTAGGCCTCCTCCTCCATCCTCCTGTCCCGCCGCCGCCCTCGCCTGTGGTTCCCGCGAAGCACTGACGGGGGAGAAGTCTTGTAAAATGCTTGCTTCTGGACAGCGCCGGCTCCTCTGACTGTACAGTCCTTCGGATTTTTTCAAATGGACAACAATAAAGCCTGCTGGGCATTTCTAGTGTTCTGTTTGGTAATCTGCTAGTAAGAGCTTTTTTGTTCCAAAAGGAATGCTGTTGCTCGGTGTTAAGCGTTTCAGTACAGCCATCCGAGGTGCAAGACTCGGATACTTCATAGATAGCATTTTCCCGGCCAGGTCGATTGATGCTTGCTTACGGAACTCTATTGTTTTGAGGAGTGAGAGAAGAAGCTTGTTGGTACTTAGAGGGTTTGATTTGTTGTTAGCATTATTGTGTGGGGTGGCTTGTGGTATAGCATAAGGCAGTTGTTCTAGTGCCTTAAAACTCCAAAATAGCTTTTCTCTAAACCCTATTTTCTTGGCTCGTCTTCCTCTTTCTTGTACTTTCAAGCTCTTTAAACCTTGATCCTCTCTGATCCAACTTAGCTACCTTTTTTTATATTAATGCTTTCTAGTCATATACCGTTTGAATTTTTTCTATGTTACACCAAACTAGGGTATTAATATGGGGTTCAGCACTGTTAATATGGAATAAGAACATGAGGGTTATTTGCTAGTAGTTTGAAGTAGAATGCCTCGAGGTGACACAGTCTTAGATCAGATTGCATACTGAATTGATGTTGATTCTGATTTGTCACTTAAAATAGGCTTTCTATTCACTTGCGGTAAAAATAAATTTTGAGTTGTAATCATAGAATCATAGAATCGATTGGGTTGGAAAAGACCTCCGAGATCATCGAGTCCAACCCTTGGTCCAAATCCAGTCCATTTACTAGATCATGGCACTCAGTGCCGCGTCCAATCTGCGTTTAAAAATCTCCAGGGATGGTGAATCAACCACCTCTCTGGGCAGCCCATTCCAATGCCTGATGACTCTCTCTGTAAAGAATTTTCTCCTGATATCCAACTTAAATTTCCCCTGGTGGAGCTTAAGCCCGTGCCCCCTTGTCCTATTGCTGAGTGCCTGAGAGAAGAGACCGACCCCCACCTGGCTAGAACTTCCCTTCAGGTAGTTATAGACGGTGATGAGGTCACCTCTGAGCCTCCTCTTCTCCAGGCTAAACAACCCCAGCTCCCTCAGCCTTTCCCCATAGGACTTATGCTCCAGTCCCTTCACCAGCTTTGTTGCTCTTCTCTGGACCCGCTCCAGCACCTCAATATCTTTTCTGAACTGGGGGGCCCAGAACTGAACACAATACTCAAGGTGTGGCCTCACCAATGCAGAATATAGGGGAAGGATCACTTCCCTGGTCCTGCTGGCCACGCTATTTTTGATACAGGACAAGATCCCATTGGCCTTCTTGGCCACCTGGGCACACTGTTGGCTCATGTTGAGCTTCCTGTCAATTAGTACCCCCAGGTCCCTTTCTGCCTGGCTGCTCTCCAGCCACTCTGTGCCCAGCCTGTAGCGCTGCATGGGGTTGTTGTGGCCAAAGTGCAGGACCCGGCACTTGGCTTTATTGAACTTCATCCCATTGGAATCAGCCCATCTCTCAAGTCTATCCAGATCCCTCTGCAGAGCCCTCCTGCCCTCCAGCAGGTCGACACTCCCTCCCAATTTGGTGTCATCAGCAAATTTGCTGATGATACACTCAATCCCCTCATCTAAATCATCAATAAAGATGTTAAACAGGACTGGGCCCAACACTGATCCCTGGGGAACACCACTAGTGACCGGCCGCCAGCTGGATGCAGCTCCGTTCACCAGCACTCTCTGGGCCCGACCCTCCAGCCAGCTCCTAATCCAGGAGAGGGTAACACTTGTCCAAGCCATGGGCTACCAGCTTTTCCAGGAGTATATTATGGGAGACAGTGTCAAAGGCCTTGCTGAAGTCTAGATAGACCACATCCACAGCCTTCCCCTCATCCACCAGGTGGGTCACCTGATCGTAAAAAGAGATCAGGTTGGTCAGACAGGACCTGCCCCTCCTAAACCCATGCTGGCTGGGTCTAATCCCTTGTCCATCCTGAAGGTGCTGTGTGATTGCACTCAGGATGATCTGCTCCATAACCCTGCCAGGCACCGAGGTCAGGCTGACAGGCCTGTAGTTGCCAGAGTCCTGCTTGCAGCCTTTTTTGTGGATTGGGGTGACATTCGCCAACCTCCAATCATCTGGGACCTTCCCAGAGAGCCAGGACTGTTGGAAGATGATGGAGAGCGGTTTGGCAAGCTCTTCTGCCAGCTCCCTCATCACCCTGGGATGGATCCCGTCTGGTCCCATAGACTTGTTAGGATCCAGCTGGTTCAGTAAGTCGATAACTACATCCTCCTGGAATACAGGAGGGCTATTCAGCTCTCTGTCTATCTGCTAGTGTGGTTGAATTGAGGTTTTAGAGTGTCTGTACTAATGATGATGAAACATTACAAACACTTTCTTAAGAAACAGAGAAAAACAAAGAAAAGTTGTAATTCCCAAAATTCAAGATAAACGTGAAGAGAACTGGGAGGTTGTTCCTGGGCTGTGGTATTTTTCCTAGATCCCAAAGCAGTTTTAAAACCAACGAAGGCAGTGAACTCTTTTACATTTTAGTATTCAAAAGGGTAAAGCCTTTTAAGAACAGTGTTAATTACTTGCCCTATTGGGATGTATCTGGTTTTTACCTCTATCCTGACTGAAGGATGAAGGGTACTGTTTGTTTTATAAATTGGCTTGATATTTGCATTATGTTCTTTTTTACGTCCAAGGAGTATGGCTTCAAATGGGCTTCCTGCTGTGATATCTGGCTCATTTTCCTGAGTTCCTGTAGTTTAATTTCACATAATGTGAAGCGTGAGAAATACAGATTATTTCCAACATGATGTGCATTGTATTTGGTAGGAAGGAATTTCACCTGTTTTTGTTCTGCTAGTTAATATTGTAAATTCTTTGTAGAGTAGAACATATATGCACTTTTACTTAAAAAAAAAGATATTATATATAATATTTAATGACTGTTTATCTAAAAATAAAACACTGAAGTGATGTTATCCAGGATTTATGAATACCATGAGAAGTAACGAGATGTCAGGTGAAAGATGAAAGTTTGCTTCTGGTGCCTTAATTATAGATGATTCAAGAGAAGAAGAACCAAGCTTGAATCTTACAGAAAAAGCATGCAACGCTTCATGCTGAGATGGTTTATTTTACTTATAAGTGAGTTGCACTTAATCCAGAAAACTTACTGTAGGAGTGCATGACCACCTTAATTTTTAATTGTGTTTGTTACCATTCTTTTGGTAATGTGGCTGTCTCCTACAACAGGCAGCATAAATGAGGTTTGCTAATTATTTTATAAATTGAGAAATCTTGACAGTTTACTCAATTCCTATATTTGACTTACTTTTCATTAGAAGTGATTTTTTATTTTTTATTTTTGCTACACCAGAGTGTAGTGATGCCGCTATCCAACTGAAGGCACAGATAACTAACAGAATTGCATGCTATCTTGCAAAGTTCCTATGAAAAAATAGGTGGATACTTAAAAATTTAGTAAAACTTTCCAAAAGGCAGAAATAGTTAGCTTTGTTCAACAGGATAGTTCTAAGGTTCAAAACATGTATCTTTTATTCACCATGTGTGAATAGAGCAGTATAGGAGTACAAAGCACTATAGACTTGAATACCTTCATCTTTTTTTATTTTCTGATCTATGAGAACAATAGCAGTACATTAGTTAATATCTGTGCAGTGAAGCAATTGCATTAGTGAGCTGTTTTCTGCAAACTTCCCTGCAGGCTGGAAAAGTGGTTTACACCCGCTCCAGAGTTTTGGGACTTTGTTAGTGAGCTGCAAACAGGCCTTGATATAAGTGTTGTTTGAAGAGCTATATTCTGCTTTTCATTGCTTGTTGAAATGTTTTCCTCCTAAGACATGGGTTCTGAATCAGCTACTTGCATACAAATCTGCGAGCACTGCAAAGTTAACTGCAGCTGTCCTGGGATGACCCTGGGAAGCTGGAGTGAGCAAGGCCTTTGGCAGGCAGCTCCCCGGCGCTCCACTCTGTGATTTTATTCCCAGTATTTTGACTGCTTGTTTAATGATGAGGCTCTAAGGAAAAGAGACGAACCATATGCTCATCAAGCAAGGCACAGGAAGCAACCAGGCCTGTGGGATCTCAGCAGCAGGATAAGATGGCTGTCTTGGTAGAAAGTCAAGGCTGGAGGGGGCAGTGCAGGGCCACAGGCTTTGCTCACCTGCAGGTGAGGATATACCAGCCTGCTGAGCAGGGCACTTGAACATTCAGTCTATTAGTCGTCCAGACCTGGATCTTATGCAGCTTTTGCTCTCTTATCTGGAGATTCCCACTTAATCACAGAGAGGGTTCGAGCACTCAGCGTCTCTCTGGGTCAGGCCTTCAGGTTACTTCTCATCTCTGTGGATGAAGGCTCATACCCTGCCAGGTGCTTTGCAACCAAGGACTGTATTAAGGCATTACTCGTTGGACATGATGTATGTTTTCTAGGAAATGAGGTGGTAAGGGACAGCAGGGTGAAGGGATGACAGTGCTTAATAATTCTTAGAGAAAGAGATTTTTATCCTCCCTGTTGCCCTTATGGCAGTTAGCTGGAAGCCTTTTCGTGAGGGCTTATCTTCCTGCCCCCTCTTCTCCCTCCCCTTCTCAAAGGACATTCCCAGGAAAGCTATCATCATGAACCAGGAACAGAGCATTTTTCTTGGCAAACCTAAGCAGAGAACTTCAGGCCTTGTCTACACAAAGAAAATAAGGGAGGATGTGAATGCAAAGTAAAATGCCTGTTCCTGGCCATTGCTCTATGGGGTGCTCTTTTCCTGCAATAAGATAACTTTATCTGAAGATAAGGACTCAAGAACAGGTGACTTGCAGTAAATTAATCGTGAGGACATACCAGTTACTCTGTAGCTAGTGCCTATTGCACATCCTTGCTTTAGTGTCAAGTATATGGAGTCTTTGCCTCTTTCCTTGGAGGCACTTTCCTGTCATCACTGAGGCACTGCAAGGAAAAAAACAGGGCAGAAAAAACCCCTCAGACAGCTGCCTTAAAGTAGATAACTACAGTGTGCTTCAAGTTCAAGCCATGATTGCCCTGGCTGTAACTCCCAGGTATTTGATGTTAGCTCTTTAGGGAACCAACTGCGGTAATTCAGGGTCTCTCTTGCTAAAGGGTAAGAGTGCCTTGGCAGGCTGGGGAGCAAAGAGTTGCAGAGAATTTACCAGAGCACTGTGACTAGGTCCCAAAACATAGGGGATGGCAGCCAAGAAAGCAGGGCAATTCTTGCTTACAGTCATCTCCTGTTTCTCCCCAGTGGGCAAGGTGAGAAGATGATTCAAGAGACATGGACTTACACACCGACAAAATAATACTTCCCTTCTTGTATGTCACAGCTTCATCTGATTGTTTCTTGGGGTGTTTGGTGGGTCATACTGTCAAATGAAAAGGGGAGAATTTCCTCAACCCTTACTGTGGGGGGGTTTACTTGACCCTTAGTGTTTTATTTGTCTGTCAGTGCCCCAGGAAAGCCGAGACCCTTGTGCCCAACCAGTCTGTTAGCGTTCCGTTATGAGGACTCTTCACTGAACAGTCCTGCTGGATTGGAGGGTGATTTGACTGCCTTTTTTAGCGAACTATGCCAGCAGCATAAAGAAGACCCCTCAGCAGGTCTTCCCACTTTATTAGAGTGTATTACCCACTGCTGGTAACTGTTAGTGCCCGGGAAGGACCACCACTAACAGTTTACAGACTAACACTTTATTAATATAAAATTGTGACAGGTTTGAAGGTTGCCAGTGATGGTATCTGACTGCAAAAACTTATTTAAAGCAATACACAGACAAGTTCTAATCCCAGTAAAATATTCAGCGTGCATACAGTTCTTACCCAATAGGCAACCCTATGGGAGGAGAAGACAGGTTCAGCCCATCGACTGATCCCAGCAGTTACAATGGAGTCCCAGCAGTTACAATGGAGTCTAGCTTTTCCCCTGCTCTTGACTTAATTTTATACTATTTCTTTATGTTTAGGTGGAGCTTGAGTGACTTTAGTCATAAATACCTTTGTTGCTGATTGGTGTAAAATTTTCTCACTTTGCTTTTAAAGATACAGTCAAAAAAACCTAGAGCGCATGCCCAGCGGAGGGTAGTTGTACCTTGAGGTGAGTAACTTTGGGACGGAGGTGTGCATTAATATTACAATTAGGCTTTAATGAACCGATTTCATCCAAGGAGATTTCACCACAGTTATTGGCTCATCAGCAAGATATCTGTTCCTATCTCCTTTCATTTACAGGTGCTATGTGGCTTATCAGATGCAAAAGTACCACTGAGTTCCCCTCTCTGCAAGGATTTCAACAAAAGCTGGCCGTGGTGCCTCCACTCTGCTCCACCCTCCATTCCATCCCCCTGAGCAGGTGCTTACTGTTGTGTGGGGAATCATTGTGGGGCTGTCAACTGCATTCCATCCAGGGAGCAGCAGCTGCATTTTACCCTATAATTTCAGTACCATTATAACTTCTGTTAGGGTGTGAATATAGCTTCTCAGTTTCCTCTAATTTTCATGCCCAGCCATCTTCCCACACATACAAAGAGTTTTTATTAGGAAAGCAGTAGCCACCAGTCACAACCAGAATGTGCTGCATTTGATGTTTGCCAGGCAAAGTGGATCTGTGGGCTGCCGTTCCCTCTGCAGGATGGAGGAGAGGTGCTGTGGGATGTTTCTGAGGTCACATGCACCCCAGTTGAACTTGCATGCCCTGCCAGCACTCAGGTTATCCCACCAAACTGTAGGCACCCGCCTGAGGCACTTGAAAGCCAGTGGTGGACCCTTGAGGCCTTTGTATTAATTTGGAAGGGATTCATATGTCAAGGGAATGCTCCAGCCTTTGGTGATCCCTGCTGATTGATTTGCCAGCTGCTGAGCTACCATGGGGCATGTAGGATGAATCAAAGGAGTAGCTTAGTTTTCTTCAGTTTTCTGCTTGGTTTGGAGACTATCCTCATGTAATTCCATGGCTCAGTTAGAAGGGTAGGGGTTTTTATGTTACCTGCCAGGATTTAATCAGAGATAAGTCATGTCCCACCAGTGTTAGTGCATAGGGGGATTAAAGGGAAGAGACTGTTGCTGCAGCAGTAAAGACGACAGCATTGTATCTGAATTCCCAGGGAACAAAGTGCCACTATTCCCCCTCAAACGGGAAACTAATGAATTCCAGACCTCTCCCTAACCTCCTTCATGTCTCACTTTTATTCACTGCATCCCTGATGTCAGCAGGACTCAGTGAGAGCTCAGTGCTGAATTTGGCTGTTGGCCTTGGCCTAGCCTCAGCGCAGACCACTGCTTCCCCCTCCTTACTCTGTTTTCTGTCTGTCCTTTCCACTGCAAACAGATAGCTACACTGTGACACACCACACACACCAAGCACTGCTACTGCTTGACATCGCAGCCACTCAACACTTCTTCCTGGTGGTGATACACCAGTTTCCTTCTTTTGATGATATCTGAAGAAAAAAACCCAATCTTTGGCAAAGCTAGACTATGAATTATTAGACTATGAATAATTGCTCTGCTTTGGGCTGTCAGTGAGCAACTGGCTTGTGTCAACTGCCCAGTGGAATAATTTGGAGAAGGCTGCAGCTCCAAGTTAGTTCTATGTATATGTATTTTGAGATACTAATCCAGACTGGAGACCTTCCAAAATTGAATTCTTCCCTGTAGTTGCTGTGGCTAGAGTAAACAGTAAAATGGAGTTTTGCAAAATGGAGCAAAAGTGGAGTTTTTAAAAGCAATCT